ATGCTGGCCCCACTGGCCAACACACCTTTCCAGGTTTTTGTGCCTATCTGACATTTTCTCCATTTCTCAAGACTCAACTGGAAGATTTGTATCATAACTCTCTTGTAACACTCACATTATGGTAAAATTATAGTCTCTGTGCCTGTCTCAGAAACAATACTATTACAAGATTCTGTGGTCAGAAATTGTGTCTTTCACACACACAAAAAGGATATTTGTATCCTTTCTACCTACCACAGTGCCTACCTGACTCATTATAGGCAGAGTATAATATACCTGAAACTCATCTGAGAGCAATTTGTGTATTTTACCAAAAGGGCAGCAGCTTGAAACACAGCTGCTTACTCCTACAGGTGAAATTGGTTTTTTTTTTAGGTTATATCTCTATACAAAAGGAAGTGATACGGCAATTAACCACATAAGGCAATGGCATAAGTCCTACACTGAGACAAAGTCATTTTCTAATCTGGTTTGCTTTGATTGATCTAATTATATCAGTCATTAATAATTTTCAGATTTTTTTGGGACAGGGTGTCTTAGATTGTTTTTCAGAGTTAGTCATTCAAAAACTTAGTCTAAATGTTTCCCCAATGATTTTTACTCCTCCCTTCCAAATAATAATAAAAATTTAAAAATAATTTTGGTCTACAGAGAACAATTTATAAATAAAAACAATTTATTTTTCTAAAATAAATTGTTCAGAAATTTGCCTGTAAACTTATTTCCAATTATTAAAATTATTAGGTGTTCAGCATTTACTAGCATCAAGTGGGTTTGCATCAATAACACAGTGTTTTGTTGAAGTTCTTAAATATTGAAAAATATACAAATTAATGTCTAGTCATGCATTTGCAAAAGGAATATTTGCTAAGGAATCAAAGTTTTTATAATTTTTAAGACACTTTAAATACAAAATGATCTACAAACAAGAGTAACAAAATGCTCTTCTATGAAGCAAAAAGCTTCCCTAGTGATTCTCACCTATCTGCTTCTCTTTTGGCATGATGCTCTTTTTCTTCCACCACTGGGCCTGCCTATTTTCAGCCTTTGGTATGGACAGTCAGCCTTTGAGGCCTTTACGGGACTTGGTGACAATGTTGCATCAGAAAGCACGTTACTGAGACAGGCACATACTTTGTAATGCTCCAGGAGAATCTGCATAATCTTTTTCAGTCTTTCATCAGCAATGAGTGTATGTTATCTTAGTAACGAATCAGCCAATATCCTGTTTGCCATGCAAAGCCATGTCATAGCTAGCATTATTAAAGGGGCAAGGGATAAGAGCCCATTTCAAGTGGAATAACAATATATTTCCAGGTGGCAGAAATCCTGAAATGCCTCTGGCTCTGGGATGAAGACTAAGTCCTAAGGATGTCTGGCATTTGTAACTCCGACTGCAGTTCATATTCATGTGGACTCAACATTAGCACAGTGCTTTTCTGATGTCATACATAAACGGATGTCATGCAGAAAATAAGGAGCTCCTCAGGGCTTGGAAGAGTTGCAGGTAGTTTGACTAAATTTGGATTTCTTAACTGGTGGTAGCTTAACAGATAAAACATAGAATTTTCATATCAATTTAAAGAAGAGTCTCATTCCTTTTTGAAGAAAAAACCTCAAAGACAACTTCCCTGCATTGGGACAGGGTGTCTTAGATTGTTTTTCAGAGTTAGTCATTCAAAAACTTAGTCTAAATGTTTCCCCAATGATTTTTACTCCTCCCTTCCAAATAATAATAAAAATTTAAAAATAATTTTGGTCTACAGAGAACAAACTCTGTAAACATCAACCTATTCTTTATTTGTTATAAATGAGAAAAATATCAATCTTAAACTGCAACCTTTAACACAAGAAGATCTTGTTTATGAAATGTATTTTTACATCTTGGCAAAAATACTTTCCTCATTAAAATATAAGATCATATACTTAGTTTGTACTAATTTTATACATCAGGGTTTTTTTTTTTTTAAGTTCTCTAGCTCAAAAAATTTCAAAACTGTGTCTTAAATAACTCAAAATTACTAAATAAAAAATTAATATAGAGAAAGCTTTTGTCTAGACAATTTAAATAAATCAATAGAGCCCTGATCTTTACTTAAGGCCTAATAGATACGGGGCTGAGATCTCAGGGATCTGAGAAAGCCCCTAGGCTTTCTGATATGTCTAGCCTCAATAAATAGAATGGAATAATTGTGGCTAAATACAGCCATGTGTACCAGCCTGGGCATTCATTCATTGTTATGTAATATTATAATCCTATTGTAATCCTGGGACCATAAGGAGCATATATCTAGTTCTTGATAGTTCTATGTTCTATCAGGAGGCATTGCAGCAGAATAAGCCCTCATTTGTTAAGGTCTAATTTTTCTTGCTAATATATCTAAATTATAACGACTTTTTAGTACATTAAGTTTATGGTTATCCCTAGCAACTGAGTAGTAAATTTAGCCTACTAATTGCTTTTCTGTATTTTGCCTTAATAATAGTAGTTAACATTTATTGAATATTTTTATGTGCCAGGAGTTGTTCTAAGTCCTTTAATTATATTAGTTTATTTATTCCTCACTTAAATAATTAGTTCTATGAGTCAAATGCTATTTATCTCCATTTAATAGATGTGAAGACCCAACTATAATCTTATATAAGCCCCCAAGTCACACTTTGAGCCACTATGTTATGTTGCCTTACACTTTAGATTTTTAAGCCAGAAATTATTTTATTAATAAAAAGGAAGGTCACATGAAGTAACTGTTTAGCAATTGATTCTATTTTAAATAAAATGAACAAACTTTTTTATGATACTCTCTATGTGTCAAGCCCATTATAAGTACTTTAAACAAATATTAGTTTATTTAATCTTTACTCAAGTCTTGTAAGGCAGGGACATTATTATTCCTATTGTGTGGAAAAGGAAATTGAGACACAGAGAGACTAAGTAGCTTGCCCATGGTCATGCAGCTGGTACATGAAAGAAATTCAGGGGAAAAATAACATCACACCAATTATCGCAATTATTTTAATTTAACATTCGAGTCCTGCTACTGCTGTTTGTCTCTGAATAAAGTGCTCCATCTTTCTAAATCTTAGCAACCTCATTTATAAATTAAAGGTGGGGGGACTCCATGATCTATAAGGCCCTTTCAAATACTCCTATTTATTCAGTACAAAAACCCCTGAAAAGTCACTTAGAAAAAAGCTTGTTCATGCCAGTCTGAAGATTCACAAACTCCAGCTTTTTATCTGACTATTCATTCTGACAATTTTTTGTATTTCTCTGAGAGTGGTCTGGAAAGAGATTTAGCAGGAAATGAAGAATGTAGAAAGTATTTTGATGGTCTCCAGAAATGCCAACTTCAACTCAGCATCTGCCAACAGGTCTAGCTAATCCTCCAAACTCCGTGTAAATCCTGGATCCACCATTTACCAGCTGTGTAACCCTGAACAACGACTTCATCTTTCTGGCCTCACTGTCTTTCTCTGTAAAACAAGGATAATAATAATCCCACTTCACTAGAGTTGCTGTGAGGATTCACTGATGTAATATGTACAAAGTTCGTACAATAGTATTTAGGCCGCAGTAAGTACTGAGTGAAAATTAGCATTATTATTGCAGATTTCTGCTCCTATGAAAATTAAGATTGTGAATTACTAGACTTACATATACTTCCTCTGAAGTATAAAGAAATCCTAGACTCCTCCCAAGATTTGGAAAGTTGAGATTGGAAAATTGATCTTTTACTATCTTCAGAAAAAAAATTGTAGTTAAATTGTTCAATAGTTAAGTTAGATAATATCTGATCTGGAACTGAGTTAGTTTGCTAAAATTATTTAATTTCAGAGGGACTGTGTGTACAATATCAACATGAGCTAGATTTCATTTAATCTGATTAATATAGCTAGGCATTCGGTATCATCAAGTCTAGTCAGTTTGTTATAGGAATTGTCTAAAGTTTGTGAGATATAGACATTATTCTGCCCATTTCCCCTTAGTTAAGCTAAGAGGTATTAGTTTTATTATTTGCTATATGTCACTTAGCATTTGATAAATGTAGCATTTACAGTGCATTCTCCGAGGACTGGAAACGGTATTGTAGAACACCAGAACCTGTTTTCCCTTTTAAGTAACACACTATCTCAGTATATAAATTATCCAGTACCTAAGGTAATGGAGAAGAAAACCTAAGGAAGTTTGACGTTTATTTTGGAAGTGTGATAAAGCAATTGAGACTGTTTAAATTTAACACTACCTTGAGGTCTCATTACACTTGCTTGTCACTCATTAGTGCAAACTCACTTTTGCTTTTTAGAAGAGCCCAATATATTAATCTATAGCCTTAAAGTGAGTTATTAGTTTAATGTAGATCCAATCTGAGAATAAATTAGGCCCTTTTAAAATGTATTACAGAATGTTGCACTAATGGTAGTTGATGACGTATATTCACTCTTTGTGTGGGTACAAATGTGATATGATTACATCCAGGATGAGACCCTGAATTTAAGTAAGGCTTTTAGAGCTGAAGGAGATCACAGAAAGTCTATCATCCATCAGAGGCCCAAAGGGATTAAGTGATTTGTCTACGGTTATACAGATAATAGGAGGATATCACAGATTTCAGGCTAGACTTTCTTGAGTTCAAGTTGAAGGAAGGTCCATTCTTCTAAAGTATGCATTCAGAAAACATATTATAATGGTAATAATAATTACAATAACCACCATTTATTAAATACATCCTCTGGGCCAAAGGTTCTGCTGGACTCCACACATATAAGCCCTTCTCTGACCCCAACCCTGTTCTATTCCCCTCGTAGCCCATGAGGTATGTCTGGTTCTCTTCATTTTACAGACAGATGTCGACTCCGGATTTGCAACTTGTACAAGGCCACACAGCTAGGAGATGTCAACAGCTGGGTCCAGCTGGGTCAGCTCTGAATCTGCACTCTTTCTACAGGACTAGCTGCTTTGCCCACGGGGACCAAAATGACCACATCTTGTCTCCTGGTTTTGAAAATTAACAAATTCACTTTTAATGACATCAGGTGTAAGCAATCTATCAAATTATTAAAACATTATCTTTTTGCCTATGCAGGCCATGGATTCAAGACCATGAACTTATAATCAGTGATATCCAAGAGGATGGGAAGGGAATATTAAGCCTGGTGCTTTGCAAATTAATGCTTGGAGGTAAACAAGATGTATCATAGGAAATTACTATTTACTTAACTTTTCATTCTATTTGAAAGAGAAATTCCCAAATGCTAAATACTACCCTACATTTTAAGCCTAAAATTACACTGGACATTTGACAATGGTGTTGAGTACTTTAGGGAAAGATCACAACAATCCTGGTAGCAGTGTCATAGCAAAATATTTTAAATGTACCATATGAGCTAGCTCCAAGGCAAAATGAGGCAATATTATGTTTAACTGTTTGTTTGGAAACTTCTTTTATTAAAAAGATTTTAAATATTAATGCTATTTTCAATACAGGTGTGATAACACTCAATAAAGCATAGTGTACTTGATATAAATTTCGGAATGTAACAGTCCATCTAGTTCCTGGCCCCCTCCAGTCTCCACCACATACCCTAGTAGCAAAACATACGCACCTTTTTAAAAAATAAAGAAGCTTTTGGGCATTGGGTGAGCAGAGTAGGGTGGGGCAAGGAAAGTGTTCTTTCCTGAATTACTCACACTTTTGGCTTTGACTTCAGTAAGTAACATATGAAAACTGAGACAAACTCTTCTATGTTTCGCAAAGGGAGGGAGAAAAAAAGCCTGCCATTTGCAAGCGGCTATGGGCAAAACCAGCGCAGAGTACAGGGGTCGGAAAATTAGAGATTAAAAAAAAAATTGGAGTAAAGTGCACAGTTGCCGTCAAAAATATATTATTTTGATCCTAAGAAAATTAAAAGAATTTTTATCTAATGGACTAGATTGCTGACCTTTTAACACATTTGGTTTTCATTGAACATACAATCACCATCGGACATAAAAAGACTAGTTCGCTTTAAAAAAAATTCCTTGGCGTTATCTACAGGAATCTTGTGGACGCAATTCAAGGATAACATTCTGCAGCTCTTTGGATATTGAATGATGTCCTCGGATAAGTCCACAAAAGAAACAGGGACCTGTTAATGCACTGATTCAAGTAGGCGTTTCTCCCGTTTTTTCTCTCCTTCTTCCCCCTCTCTAAATGTCTGTGCTTTCCAGTTCTCCTTCTTCTACCCCTGTGGTATGAGACCTGGAAATCATGAAGAGTTTCTCTTTGTTTGTAAACTGCCTCTGCATCGGCTGAGGTTGCTCGGCCGTGGGTGGCTCTTGAGTGGCACCCTCCGGGAGACTCTGCTCCGCATCCGGAGAAGGGGCGACCACAGAGTCTGGCGTTTGACCCGCTACTGCGTCCAAGACCGACTCAGAGGAGGTGCCGGCCTCCTGCAGGGGGGCGTAGCCCTTATTGCTGCTGGATGGGTCATCCGACTGGGAGCTCCCCGAGTTCCGCCTGGTGGGGGGCGAGTCCTCTAGCCGCAGGGGTGGCGAGGTGGAGGCGGCTTTGGCCAGAGGGCTGGAGTCAGGGTCCGCACTGCCCCGGGAGGGCGGGGGTTCGGGGGACGGCGGCGCCCTGTAGTCCGGGAGCCCGCTGGTGCTGCGGCGCCGCAAGGCCGCGTACCTGCCGGTCCTGGGCAAGCGGCCGCCCTGCCCCCTGGTGGCGCGCGCAGCTACCGCGCCTTCGGGCTCCTCCAGCTCCCCGCGCGCCAGGCGCACGCTGCCCTTGGCTCCGCGGAGGTTGGTCATGCTCAGGTCAAGCTCGCCCCTCGGGATCTCTAGGGAGCCGCGTTCCCCCGGCGGCATCTGCCAGCTGCAGCTAGCGCCCTCCGCGTCCCCGTCCCTGTCCCTGTCGCGGTCTCTTTGCAAGGGCAGCAGCGCGAAGGCGCTCAGCGAGGAGCCCACGAGGGAGCTGGCGGTGCTCTGGCGCCCCCAGCTCTCGGGTGGGCTGCAGGGAGCCGGACTGCTGCAGCTGCTGGCGGCCGCGGCGGCGGCCCGGCGACGGCCGGCCACGCCGGAGCGCTCGCGGTAGACGCTGTACACCGCTTCGGCCAGACTCGGGGGCTCCCGCGGACAGCGCGGGGAAGAGGCCAAGTCTGGCGGGGACGCGGCGCCCCGGCGTCGGCCGCCGCTCAGCGCCGCGGGTTGAAGCTGCCACGAGCCCTTGGCCAGCATCGCCGCCGCTCCGAAGGCGTCCCCGGCGCCACCGCAGCTCCCGGGCTTCAGCTCCAGGCCCCGCGACTGCACGTAGCTGAGGAAGCCGTTGAGCGGTACGGCCCCGGGGGCCGCCGCGGCGGGGGCAGACGACGACGAGGAGGCGGCTGCGGCCGCTGCTGCGGCGGCGGCCGCCAGGTCTTTGGCGCGGAGGCTGTGCACGTCGATGACGGTGGAGTAGAGGTCCCGCAGGTTGATGATCTTGGTCTTCTTGTCCCGGTTCTCATGGAGCACCGCATTTGCGCAGATGAAGAGAAAGATGCCGATGCCCATGATGAGGGGCCCGAAGACCTTAAGCTTGTCAGAGTGCAGGTAGCCAGAGAAGATTCGGAAGAAGAAGCCCACAGACGTGGAAGAGGAGGAAGGGGCGGCGACTCGCGCTGGAGGCGTGCTCCTCGGCGTGCCCGCGGAACTGGAGTTGACACCCCCTGGAGCCCCAGGGTGGCTCCTGGACCGGTTTTTGCTGCCACTGCTGCTGCTGTTGGCGGTGGTCGGGACTCGGTGGCGGCTGCCCTCAGGTGGCAGCTGGTTACCCCCCTCCCGATTGGCCCCACTGGCCTTTGGCCAGTAGCCCACCACCGCCATGGCTATGCCCACCAGCAGCACCAGGATCCCGCAGAGGGCAATGAGCCCTGAGATGGAGCACAGCTTCAGCTTGCCTTTCACCACCACCACGTCGTTCTTGCGCCTCTTCTTGGCTTTCCGCTTGCGCTTGGGGATCTGGCTTGGGGGGCGGAGTGGATCCTGCTTTCTGGCAGAAATTCTCAACAGGCCTCCGGTGGCGATCATGGCGAACTCGTGGAGTGCGGGACTAGCCTCTGGGGTGGAGGCTTGCGCAGGGAGGGCGCCAACTGCCCACTAGCTGCTCAGCCACCTCCTCCTGCTGCAAAGCAGAGGAAGACAATCAGAAGGTGTTGGCTTGGCTGCAGTGACATCTCACGCTGCAACTGCCCTGCTCCCAGATCCCACTCCAAATGTGTCCCTCCCCAGGGACTTTATCCGCTAACCCAAACGAAGGCCGTGTACAGAAGCTGGGGCCAGGTAGACATTAGGGAAGGGAAATGTTGTTGCAACAACTAATAGGTTGTTATAAAACATTGCAATAACTAATAGGTGGTGAGAAAACAATATGAGAGTATGCCTTCTTCTCCCCACTCCTCGTCCATCTCCCCCATACATTCCATGGGTAATATGAGGGTTTGAAATGAACAACGGAGTTCCAGCCATTAGTAAAAACTAAATGTAGGAACGTTAAGGACTTTCCTGGCAAGATTCTTTCCTTTAGTCCTACTGGAATTGGAAGATTTTTCAAGGGAGCTGCCACAAGAGCTTCAAGTCTCCCTAAGCTGGGGAATCTGTCAATGTGTGGCCCAAAACAGTCACAAAAGTTACTACCGTATGAAGACAAAGGAATTTATTTCACTGGATGAAAATTAAAGGTCATATAATGGCAGTCAGGCAGTTTATTTACTTCAGATAATTAATAGAGAGTTCATCACTGGGGAAGCAGCAGAGATATTGCAATACTCTGACAATAAATCCCTTCACAAAGTTGTCTCCCACCTATGCCTGTTCCTATAGCTAAGTGCAAGCAGATCCCTTGCACAGCCTTCTCTCCTCTCGGCAACATCTGGACAGCTTCTTGGGGTGGAATATTTAGTTTTAGGTAACTGCTTATGTAACTGAGCTCTTCCTTCTGGCCTTCTCTGCTCCCTAGAGGAACTCCCTTAAAGGTATCATGTGCCAGATTTCATCAGGGAATTTAAGATGTTCCCTGGAATCTCCAAGAGAAAGATCTTTTTCTCACATGGGAAAATTAGAGTTAAAAAACCACTCTGCCATAATAGCTTTCTGACCCCTTATTCAAGTGCCATAAGCATGCTACAGAATTCCAGTATTCAAATGAGTAGGCAATTAACTAGGTAAAGCAGTCTGCATAATATGATGATTTGTAGAATGACATTTCCCCCAAGCCAAAGTTAAGGTTTTTTGTTTTGTTTTGTTTTGTTTTTTCTCATCCTTTTCTCATGAAGTCATTTTTAGGAAGGGAGGGTGGCAAAAATCAATGGACTACTCTTAGGAAGTTTATTTAGCCGTTAGTAATAAAGCCTGGGTAGGTAAATTCACAAATGCATATTTGTGGTTATTCGGCAGCCTCTAAAAATTTCTGTCTTGCTGTATCCCCAGAGTAAAACATTTTCTGTTCCATTGATTGTGTTCCCTCCTATGAGATGTTAAAATTAAGGGCATTGTATGAACGGAAAGATTTAGCTATCACTCCCAAACCTTTTGGTATTCTATCCTTTATCAAATAATTCATGTTTTAGAATAAATTGTCCCTTGAAAACGTGTGGCAGGCAGAATTTTGCTTTTCACTGGTGTTTGGGTGCAACGCTTTGGCCCTTGAGTTCCTCCATTATACCAATATAGGCAGGATCTTTTTTCTCCATCAGTGGGGATACATGGTAATCAGTTCTTTACAATGTTTGCAAATCATTATCTCTTTGGAACTTAGTTGGGTTTCAGTAAAGAGAAGCACCAGGTAGATTAGAGAGGGCTCAGTATAGAGAATACATCTATACAGCTTTTAAATTTTATTATAAGAATGAGCTACACCAGTAAGTACAGATTAAAAAAACAATAGCTTACTGTCTACATCTCTCATCTCAAATAAATAGGCTCATTTACGATGTGGTTGTAACGTATAGACTGTTGTAAGTGATCCCTGGAGTTCAGCATCTTAAATAATCTGGAGATCCGTAGTTATCTCAAAGAAGGCTTTAAGGACCAGACATTTTAGAAGCGAACTCGGTTGGCAGGGTGGCTCTCCCAATGGAGAAAGGCTATATGTTTTGTGTGGCATCGATCAGGTGCACCGGGATGCTGGATGTCTTGAGGGAGGGGGGCACCCACTTGGATTTCTCCTCAGCAAAGCAGCTTTGGCTCCGGTAGAATGTAAGGAAGGTTGGAATGGATTTCAACCGTCCTTACAGCAGATCTTTAAAATGGGTTTAATAGCTAGTAATTAACTCCCTCATTTATTATTCCTTCAGCTCTGTAGAAGGCTGTACTCCCTTTCAATGTATCAACATCTGACATGACATACAGACAAAGGTCAGATGCCACGGGAGACCCACCTTTGAGGTTTTCCTTTATACCCAATGAAAGATAACAAACTAGCAGTTAAGCTTGGCTGCCCTCGCCATTTACTGCCTGGAGCTGGTCTTACCGTGGTTAAGGAATGGAGGATGGGGGAAGCAAAGGAGGGATGTCTAAAAATACAACTGCTTCCAAGAGAGACATTCAAGTTCTCAGCTCATGATGGATTAAGCCCCACTCTGAGGCTCGGAGGTTCGGAGCCCACAGGCTGGGAGCGCTATTCTGTGTCTGGCACCCAACCCAGGTCCTAGACCCCCGGCCCCTCACTGGCAGGGCGGCGACCCCCTGGCCCCTGGCTGTGGTCTGCTTATTGATGTTGGCTGGAGTCACATGAGTCCAGCAGCTGCGCGTCCGCTTCTGGAAAGACAGGCAGGAGCGAAGTGAGGGCAATCCTGAACTCGCTTTTTCTGGGCAGCGCATCCTGTGTAGCCCTCCCGGTAAAAAGCCTGTCCCCGAACACCAGCCCGGGTCGCGGGGGCTCCGAGACCTGAGGGGCGGAGAGTGGCCCCGGGGGCTGGGGACTGGCAGAATTGCTCAAAATGGCAGCACTCTCCGCACATAAGATCGCTCACTTACCCAGGGAGACCGGGGGAGGTCGGGGCCGGCGAACGGGCGCTCGGGCAACACAAAGGAACCATGGAGAAACTTTTTCAGCCCGAGCCGACGGCGGAGCGCAGGGACAGCGCCCCGGGGCCCTTCATCGGAGCGCCGCTCAGCAGCCCCGCGGGGGCGAGCGCCCGCCCCAGGCTCGCAGCCCCCTCCGGCGCCGTGGCGGGAGCCATTTCCAAGAGTTTCCAAGAAGTGTCAGGTCCTCCGCATCCCGCATCCCGTCTCGGAGCCCTCCTCTCCGCCGCTCCTCCTCCCGCAGGCGGCGTCTCCTAGCGCGGTGCTCCCGGGCGGGCCCCTGCAGCCGCGCCGCCGGCCCTCGCGCCTCTTTTGTGTGGCTGCGGCGCGCCGGGCTCCGCCGGGTGGAGTTGAGCCCGCGGCGGCGGCTCGGGGCGGCCGGACTGGCGGCTGTTGCTAAGAGACCGGAGCCATGACACAGGGAAATTGCGGCAGGGTGGCGGTCGGGGCCCGCCCGGCTCGGCGGCGTAGGGGGGGCTCCCCCGCCCCCCGCCCCGCCCCCTCCCCCGGCGCACCCTCCCTCCGACGCCGCCGGCCTTCCCCGCTCCCCCGGGTCCTCAGCCGCCTGCCACCCGCCCCTTCGGAAGCTGGCCGCTTCCCCGGGGAGGAGAAGGCGCGAGGGGAGGCGGCGGAGGCAGTCGGTGCTGAGCGCTCGGGCCACGGGGCAGAGCGGGGAGAGGGCAGGCGCACAGCGCCTCCTCCGCCTCGGCCCTCCCCGCCCCGGGGCGCCCGGAGGCCACCTCCTGCCTCCGGGAGCAGCTTTGTTCTCTCTTCCAACTACCTGTCTGAGCCGCGGGCCCCAGAAGCCCCAAAGAGAAGCCCGGAGGGCCTCCCCAGCAGCATCCAAGGGGCGCTTTCGGGGAGCGAGGGGCCAGAGCCAGGGTTCCCTTCGTTTCTGCCTCCCTCCCCTCGTCTCTCGGTCTTTTGTTGCCTCTACTCCTCGGCACCGCACAGCCTGGGCTGTTTCCCCCCTCCCGCTTGTGAGTTTGCAGTGTGGACGCTCGGCGAGCGCAGTAAGTTGTCCCCCAGCGAACTCGGGCCCCGGCGGAGTGGAGGTGCCCCCGCCGCACCGGGCGCACCGCGGGACGCGTGGAAGCCTCTGTCAGATGTGCTCGCGCTTCAGCCCCGCCGGGCTTCGTGACCCGCCTGACCGGGACCCGGCGACTTCCGCGGGCAGCTGGGGCTCCTCGGTGATGGGAATCGGCCCCGGAGCACTTCCTTGGGCAGCCCCTCCTGCTCCTCCCGGGTGTGATAATCAGCAAGCATTAAAAGGAAAACTACAATTCTTCAGGAATCAGGGTTAGAATCAAAGAGGGGAGGTGGGGGTAGGGAGAATGTCCAAACTCCTACGTCATTTTAAAAAGAGGAAGGAGAGAGAGAGAGAGAGAGAGAGAGAGAGAGAGAGAGAGAGAGAGAGAGAGAGAGAGATTCTGTTTCCTAGCTCATCCCTGTCCTCTCAACTGTAAAGTAAAAATGACAGGGAAAAGAGAATTTCAAAGTGGAATTTCCCCAAAGACTATTGAGAACGTGAAAAAGCTTTCAATTATCTATTGAAATGAGGCATCCAGGATTCAGGAACAGAAGAGCAGATGAAGCAAGTGCTGTCTGAAATTTTGGATCCAGACAAATATTTTGGTGCTGCGGGTGTTGTATATATTCTGAGTTTTGGGGCTTAGGGATCTACAAAACCCACACAAGAGGACTCTACTGCCCACAGCTCCTGTTACAAGATTGTTCCCCACATGCACAGCATTCACATGTGCTTAAATCTAGAACACACACTTTTCAAAAGGAACAATAACGACAACAAATTTACAAGTTCGATGATATAAATGCGGACGGTGATCTAAAGGGTGGGGATAGAGATGGTGTGGGACAGGAGGAACAAAACAAAAGTGTGCTCTAAAAGGCAACCCTGCATTCGCCTGTTGGAAAGGTGGCCCCTGTCACCCTTTTTAAGCAAATAAGGAATCTGAAGGATGATCAGGGTGTCCGGAAACCACCGCCTTCTCCCTCCCTATTCCTCCTCAGATTCAGGCTATCAGGAAACAAACCATAGTGAAGGGAAAGTTTTAAATCCCACGTTGGGTTGTTTCCTTTTAGAGAAATCGCTGCAAAGGAGAAATAACATCTAGTTGTTTTCTAAAGCCTTTTCGGCCCTGAACTTCCAGATTTCTTGAATCCCAATAATAATCTGTACAAAGATTGGACCTACAGTCTCATTTCATTGCATAGCTAGCTGCCAGTGTCTGTGGGTGGCAGCTCCTATCTTCTGTTTGTTGGGCTGTACAAACAGGAATGATACTGCAGAACTTCATTAGGATTTTAGGTGGATTAAACTGCTAATAGTTTCAAGTTTCTGTGTAAATTATAGCCATCATTTACACATTTAAAACTCATTTGAGGGATTTGGAGAAGAAAAGAATTCTTTTCTAGACAAAGGGCCTTGGGACATAGCTAGTTTTTTCTCATGTTGATGACTGCAAGAGAATTTATGGTTTATTACTCTAAGGCTTCCTTCCAAACTGAGCTTTTTGGAACTTTGAACTGTTCTATTTAACCTGAGTGTTGTCACATTGAGTAATTTTCTTTATTTTCAGCTCATGGTATCAGAGGAAATCAAACAGATGCCATCTGTTTCCAGTGGAGTACTTTATCCCTCTGTAATTCGGAATCAACATACATTCCCAGAGGTTTTCAAGTTAGGGAGAGCTGTTTTTAAAGGAACAAGGATGCTCTTGGCCCTTCTGGAGTTATTTTCCTTCTAATTTCACTGGCCATTTCAGTCTGGATGATTTCTGAGATTGTGGGACCCCACTTTCACCATGCTGAGGACTGAGGGGCTATAGCTACCTAATCTTTATAATTCACTGGTGCCTCCAGATTTTGGAGCTCAGCACAGGTTCTGACCTTGTAGCAGGGAGCGTAATGAAGGCCCTGGGAAAAAAAGAGAAGAGGATAAAGATTAGCTTAGTTTAGTTGTATTAAATTCTGACCTGCAACCTTTCATTTGCTCTTTCTTAAAAAGAATCCTTATATAATTTATTCAGTCTCATAATTTATTCAGAACTCATTTACTTCCCAGATCATTTCACCAACCTAGCCTGGTGTGCTTGACTTGCCTGCCAGTGCTTCCAGGGCTGCACAGGGGAAGACACTCGCCTGCCATTGGCACACATGGGCCCTTCTTGGTCTCCAGGAGTGTGCCAGAGAAGGGAAGTCTGCCTATACCAGCAGCTCAGCAACTCCTGCCTCTGCACACACCTTGCCTTCACGGATAGTACAGGCTGCAGAAATAGGTACGTTAGTGTTGTGGGTTCTGGAACCAGTTTATCTCCTCCTCTAACTAAATTACTTAATCTTGTCTGCCTCAGTTTCCCATTCTGTAATGGGGATAATGACACTGATACCCTATTCATAGCATTGTAGTAAAGATGAAGAGTTTAGTCAGTGTAAGCTAATACTTAGCACGTAGTAAGCACTCATTAAACTTACCCATCACCTTATTGGTTCTAACATCTCTCAGCTTGATACCCTCACTCTCCTTTCCATTCATATTTTCCGGGATCTACATGGAACTGTATCTGCACTTACTGTCTCTGAAGTAGGGTTACCAGGTCAGCTGTTGTGATTGAACTACCACTACCTACATGACATAGGTCCAGTGCCACTCCAGAAAGTTTGCTTTGTTTGAGAGTGAAAACACTTTCTCCATTGCTACTTTGCTCATTTTGCAATTAACCAGGACCCTTTAATTTCAGTTTGTTCAAGAACTAAGATTTCAAACTCGTGACACTCTGTAGTCAAATTAGAAATTTGCAAAAACACAACCAAGAGACATTTCAGACCAGAAAGTGGAAGATTTCATAGCCTTTGTATGACATCTCTACATTAGAAAACAGAAACAGTCAACCCCAGGTCAAAAACAAGATAAAATCACCCCTCTCTTTATTCCTTCCTTACCCTTTTCATACCTCTGCCAATAAAAAACAAAATGACAAAAAAGCATGGCAAAATAAAACAATAAGCATACAACTAGAGTCACTAGATTTAGCAAATAAAACTATTGCATGCGATATACTACCCAAAAAACCAATTTGTTATTTACCTAAAATTCAGACTTAACTGGGCGTTCTACATTTTATTTGCAACCCCACCACAATGTACCTGATAGCCTCGAAATTTTCTCATGGAACATGCAAAGGACAAAAGAGCCTGATAGGCAGAAAACATGAAATGCAACATTAAATTTATTTTGGAGCAGAATAGGCAGAAAAAGAAAACACAAGATGGATGGAACAACAGAGCTTCAAAGTCTGAGGATAGTGTTTCCAACCTGGACTGGGCTTAGTCCTGGGTTTGTGTTTCTAGCCTTTGCTATAGAACGCTGCCATGCTAGAGGGACAGGCACTTGCCCTGCCTCCAGTCCCCAGGGTTCCACAAATGAACTTCTGAAGACATAGAGCTCAACTCACTTTCAAGAACTTCAGTTTTGAAACCAAGAGTAAACTCATGCTAGTGTCAAGGTCAAGATCAAACCCATTTCTTGTATTTCTGAGAAGAATCAAAGCAATTTAAGCCCAAACGCTTCCACCACAGAAACAGTGGAAAAAAGAAATGGTGCAAGATGTCAAGAGTGTTCCTTAGAGCACAGCAGACAGGTCCTGCTCCCTGCGTTCCAGGTCAGTAGCATGTAGCAATGACAGCTTCATTTGTCTTTCTCAGTGAGAGAACTACCAGGGGTGGTTGTCTCTAGTAAGTGGGGTTCATTTTTATACGTTCAGTTTTCCCCAATAGGCTGAATTTTCTATCATTTTTCAGGTACACCATCAAAGCTGGATTCTGGGCCTTACGAAATAATTGAGGTCTGAAATGAGAAACTAGAGTTTGTTGGCAGGCCTGAAAGCAGATCAAAGCTGAGCCTGGAAAAAGCTTTGCAGGAAAGGCTCTATCAATGAAAGAGCTAAGACAAGACCCATGGTTAAATGTGCCCTATGTTCCCAAAACCTAATCCTAAATGTCCACACTAATGTCATTCATATCATTTTGTATAATCTACAAGCACTATGGAGAGATGACTTGTCCTACTCAGAGCTAACTGCTCACATGTCTGATCTGCTTTCAAAATTAATTGTGATATGAGCTGCTGCGTGTACACCACAAGAAAAAGGAAACACACAGTTAAAGAACTAGTTTTCAAAAGTAAAGAAAGAATCGTAAGAATTCCAAGTAGCAATTCCAGGATCGCTACTTGGGTGGCAGAGCCCTGATTCGTCCAGTAAAGATTTTCTTAAACGCTTCTGTGTACCCCACTCTATGATTCCTGCGTCATTCACTCCACAAGTATTTACTGAGTATCTACTGTGTTATTGTTCTAGGCACTGGGGATAGAGTGGTGGTGATCTATGCAAACACAGGCACTCTTTCTTAATGGCAGGGGTGTCAGATAATAAACAAGTAAA